CCCTAACCGGGATTCGATCTTGCCCAGGAGGTGAACCTTAGGGTTCCACCCCAATGACAGAGACATTGCCTCTGGGCCAAAGCGCCACCAATATGACCTTTCCCTAAACCAAAAATAGCACTGATGAAATTGTCGCTATTCTTAGTGGAGGTTTTTTTTTTTCTTCTAAAAAACAAAGTCACACATTATTCTTAATCATTAATTATGTTTGTTTTATAGGTTGAAATTATTTCTTCAAAATAATCCTTAAACAATGTTGCTGCTGTTTCTCCGTGCGGATAGATAGACCTGATGGATTTCCATACTGTTTGATCTTTGTGCTCCACTTTCTCGAGCTCAGGCTGGAGAATAAAAAACATCCCCTGACATGGATTCTGCCTCGTGCGCATACATAATACCACGGCTGTGTTTCCTGGGCGGTGGGCGACCGACTCACACTAAACAGAGAATTGTTCTCTTTCTTATTAAAACAACAGGTGGCCATGAGTAGGCAGCCTAATTTCTCACTGTTGCCTCACACCATGGTTCCAAACTAATGATCAAAACACTGAGCTACTTCACATTGTCTCTCTGCACAGACTGAAAGAAAAATGCACCGTGAGTCGAAGTCTGCCTGCGTGGCTGCGGGCGTACAGTCCGTGTCTTAAATTTGTGCAAAATTTGCGTGTTGCTCCGGACTTAATAAGATTTATCCGGGCTATGTTTACATGTGCAAATGCAGTTCTGCATGTGTGCCTTTTTGCAGTCGTCAAGTGTTTACGTGTGTGTGTCAAGTAAAGGTGAGAAACTCTGAGGGGGAGAAAGTTGTAAAAACTGATTTGCGCTACTGATGAATTCACAGAAGGAGAATCTGACTGTTTCTGTCCTTTTGTGTCGGTGATGTGTTCTGTTTTTGTCTTCTGAACTGGGAGAAAAAAATGTATTGGTTGTTGTTATATTTACATATGAGTAATTGAATTGTTTATTTTAGTCGGACAATATTGAAAAAACAAAATTTACAAAAAGGGTCGGCACAACCACTAAAGTCTTTGAAAATGTCAAGAGCTGCTGGTGGACGAGGCTGAAGTGAACTACTTGCAATGACAGTATTAAATATATATTTACTCATATAAGCTCAACTTACCTGAAACATTATATCTTGGGATACTGATAAAATACATGTTGCTGTATGGCAGAGTATGATTCAACTCTTACAGCAAGGGTCACCAACGTGATGCCCGGGGTCACCTGGTAGCCCTTGGGGACTACCTAAGGCTTTGTTTCCCAAAGACTGGGTCGTGACCCTCAGGTGGGTCACAAGAGATTTTTTGGGGGGGGTCGTCTCACATCATCTTTGACTTGGGTCGCGAAGGTTTGTGATTTTAAAAATATAGGTACCCAGAAAAAAGTTTGGGAAACACTGACCTAAGGTGCCCACGAGGTACAGTATGGTCTTACTAGTCAACAAGAGGGTGAAAAATGGTACTGTTACTGTGCTTTTTTTAATCAGTTCCACTTATAATGATATTCAAATGGGTGCATTCAATGATGGTAAGAAGAGTGTCTACTATTGTATGTCCCGGAACTAATTATTATTACGCTGTTCCAGAAGTCTGTATCAAACAAGTAGCTCTTTGTATTACTAAGTACTTGCTCTCAGTTTCAAAAAGTTTGGATACCCCCGTCTTACAGTACATGGTCACTCCTCCACGCCATTATATTTATATTTTTATTTATTTCTCATGCTCTAACAGACTCCCTTTGCGATCTACTGGTAAATTGCGATCGACTCATTGTCTTTGTCTTTAAAGGAACAAAAGAAGTTTTGAATATTTGTCTCTGTATTTTCGTCATATTAATAATGCCATAATTTCAATGAGATACAAACAAAAAGGTGCGAACACAGATGGCTGGATAAATAATGACTATTTATGAATGTGATTAATCATCATTAGTGCTTTGCATGCGATTAACTCAAATTAATCAATGATTAAAACAACGGTTAATCGTTTAAATCCACTTTTGTTAAATTGATGTTTGTAAAAAAATAAAAAATAAAATAAAAAAATTAAACGTTCTGAACATATTTTGTGTATGTTTGTTGACTTTAAGGGAGAGGATAACACTGACACAATAATGGATTTTTTTATTTTGGATGTGTAGATCTGTAACTTAAAAGAAGGAAAGCCTAATATTTGCCAGCAACTGACATTCTCAGAGATTGCAGTACTGGCACGGTGAGTACACAAACTCCCTCTGTCGACAAATTTTTGATAAGTTCATCTTCACTATTTAGACAGACGAGATTAGTCATGGCATCGAACCATTAGCCTCTCCCATCTGTTGTGTTTACCACTCATTGGTTTCTGGTCCAGAGGGGGATTCCTTCTCTGCAGGACTGCTTCCAGATTTAAGGGTCATCTTAGCTGAATCATTTATCTCTCACTCAGCAGCACCGATCAACAACAGTGGTTTTTTTTCTTCTTTTCTTTCCTAATGATAAGACAAATGTGAAAATAACACTTTTAGTTAGAGTGAATAAAAGATCGAAGACAGTTCGCTAATTTCAAAAATTTTTGAATTTTTTTTGTCACGACAAGGTGATATTTCACACGTTAAACAAGGTTGACAGGTTTGACAACTCTGGTTCATGTTGGAAGATTCCTGCAAACAGAGACTAGAAACATATATGATATACTGTGTCTGTGAACCTGTCAGAAAATGTTCCTTAACACCTTTTTTTTCTCAAGTTAATGCTTTAACACACTTTCATATTTCTGATGAAAAGCTACAGATTCTTTTTCTATTTTAGAATATTTTCTCAGCCTTGGTCATGTTATCACTGGAGATAAAGCCTGACAGGAAGACGTGAGGCTTCCTGTAGCTGCTGGCTGAGCTTAGCCTAGCTCAGCGCTAATAATGGAAACCTAATTAACTCAAATTAAAATCTGTGAAAAAATGAGAAACACAAGATTCACTTGGTGTGAATCGGTGTTGATGACATTTAAGGAAGACTTTACAAGTTGTACTGTAGTTGAAAAACCTGAATTATTTACTAACTTTATGACTAGATTTTGGACAGTTTAGCTTAGGAGAATGATTTATAATTACACACAAATGTATTTTGCTCTAATGTGTACTTACATAAGACGAAGTCCTGTTAAGTCCAACGTGTTTGCTAAGGCCAGGCTGGTTCAGGCGACTTGTCGAGCTACCCTCGAGCTTCTGAAACATCATTCAACTGGTGTAAAACGGTCAACGTTGCTATGATTTATCAGAAGGGATTCGTTGACAGAGCTTTTCCACAGAGGCTTCTTATGTCCAAAGTGGCTTGGTTCTTAATTAAGTTCAGCTCTGAGCTGCTTTAGTAAAACTTAACAGCCACAAAGGTTACATGTGAGTGATGATTAATGCGTCCAATTTTTGCGATCTCCGCTAAACACGGCATCATAGGTAATTAAACTACGGCCTGTAGAGCGCGCACACACACACACACACACATGACTCACATAAAAGCACAATTGTTATGAAGCTTCGTCGCCCCCAGTCGAAATATCTTACAGTGGAAAATTGGAAAAAACAAATGAGATGAATAAATAGCTAGAGGTCAAATGTCAACAAGTCACACAAACAGCCTGAAGTGAGAAACAGAGTCAACTGCTTCAAACTAGTTTTGCAACTAGTGGAAATAATGGAATAAAAAAAAATTAATGGCCTCAAAAACATTTATTTTATTTTATTTCTACACATGTAAGTGATGCACACACAACAGTCCAACAGGTGGCACTAAAATGTAGGTGAGAATGGTCTTTTTTTTGTAAAGCGGGATCACAGTCTTATTGAATCTATCTAGGCCAAGTGATTCCAAAACTGTTTCTGCAGCGCCCCCTTTTTGTAGATCGGATCATGATGAGCGCCACATATCCATATTGAAACCATGGCGTCTAAACTGCGATGAACTTTTTGAAAACACAAAACTCCTGTTCTCATCATCCAAATAAAAACAAAGCTGCGTTCCACCCAAAGGTCCCCCAACCCCACTCTGAGAACCACTGGACCACATAATTCACAACCAAAAAAAATTACAATGGAGTAGTAGTGGCTCTGTGACTGAAGTAAACTAAAAGAAACTGATAGAGAAGTTTAAAGAAATTGCAAATGTTCACGATTAGTTGGTAACCAAGCCATTCATAAATTCCAGTAATTCTTTTAAATACTGTCCCACCTTTACTTCAAAAATACTAAAATACAGTAGTAATAAACAAAATGACATAATTTACCACCCAAATGCAATACAATAAAAACAGTACATTATTCCCTAGTACAGTAGTAATAATATTTCCTTATTAGGAAATTCCAGGACAATTAATAATACGTTAATTTTTCAACACTTCGGCTCCTAGGAATATCACTCCCCTCAACTATTGCAACAACACAGAATAGGCTCTTAGCATTAGAATAATGTGGTCTAAAGATCAACCATACCTTCTCATCAAAAAAACAAACAAACAAAAAAAAAATACTGACGTACATCCACCACAGGGCACCGAGCTGCTCCGGAGTGAAAAGACAATACAGGTGGGAGGTATTGGTCTTTCTTTTACTGCCATTTAAATCAAGCCTGTTATGTTTATTATTATTGCACCTGTGGAAGACGAACAGGGTGATAAAAGCAGATGCCGGCCGGAGTCTTGTTGACATTTTAGAGAGTCCTTTTGGAGCAGTAAAGATGCCCGGTTGATGGATACCACAGGTCTTTGGACAACGGGAAGATAAAGGCAGGAATAAGTAAGGATGCAGAGGTAAAAAATGCACGGCGTACGGACGTCAGCTGAGGTAGAGATAAGGCCGGCAGAGAATGGGAGAGTGGTGCGCAGAAAGAGTCTGCCAGTGGGAAAACTTCAGGACAGCAGGTAAATGTCCGGGGAAAGACAGAACAGACAGCCACAAGCTGTCAGCCAAAGAAGATTAAAATAAAAAAAAAAATTCTGT